GAAAAAAATAAATTTCTCACTTTACACCAGAATTTATTTATTGCACTGTCCCTTACTTCTGGAAACCTAGGGGAACCACATAATCAAGCCGCAGGCCACGGTTCCATGGTATTTACGCACTTGCGGTGTATAGGGGACGCAGGACCGCGTCTCGAACACGGGTTGAACAAGAGCATGTTCAACCAAAGAACATTGTCACTCTCCTTGAAAAACCATGAAAAACAGATCTCTGATGTTCCGAGGAACTATGTATAACCGCCGCTGAATAATTTACAGTAAAAATAATTATACGAATTAAATATCCTTTTAAGTACTGCACGTTTGATTGTGCCGTCACGTATCGGTTTGCTGCTCTCCCGGTTATTGCAATTTTTGCTGAGATATAAATGACTTCATAATTCCATACAGTTGCTCTATTATGTTTCATTTGCTTTTTACACCCTGTGTTGATTTCTACTCGCCTGTCGGATGGGGCAAGGCAAATCAGAATCCTAGGTGCAAGCATCATATGGCATGACAGTTTCTACGCGCCCTAGCATAACCACATCAGAAAAACAACACCAACGACTTATTACCTGCTTCTCGGCTGTCTGCGTCAAACTGAGGAAAGGAACGTCTGCTACAACCGAAAGGTCAATCATCCACACACCTTTATGATGGGGTCATTTGTGGCAACCCTGTTTTCATTAAGTCAGTAATCTGGCGCAGATCGTTGTTTCCATGCCATCGGTCAGGAATGCCTTATTTTAAAGGCAGAGTCGATAGTATGCATGTGACAAATACAGTATGTAGTATGCTGTTCCCCGATTTGAAATCAGGACCTGTCATTTTTGAGTCAGTCGTTCCAGCGACCGAGCAACCCTGGCGTGATTTCACTGAGGCAAAGTGGAGAGAATACTTTCCCATATCGATTGGCAAAATTTGCGCTGCTCTTGAGGTTTGAGCCTGGCTCGTCTAAAATACTCTCCTGTACTTCAGCTTTTCTATTCTTTTACTTTCCCCTTCCCTGAGCGGAAAAACACTTCTTACGGATACAGATACTTACTATCTAATATTTCTGATGGTTGGAATTCAAACTTCTATTCAAGTCTTCCCATGTTATGTCCTGTTAAACCATAAGTTCTCAGAGAATTAAGTAAACCTGCAGTGCATGTGATCAATCACATTGCTGTGCTGCTGATCACGCCGATTGCAATTAGGAGGTCGATCCCTTCGCCGTTCATCAATTGATATCAGCCGTTCGATTTGCCTCATCGTCGTCAACATTGCGAACTCAGACAAGGCGCGTTGTTTCGTTCGAACTCGGCTTCGTTCGGTCGTTGCAATGACTCCTCAACATCTGCCACGAACGTGATCGATGGCAGCGTCGGTCTTGAAATATGACCTGACCGCGGAGACGATAAAAGCAACCGGCAGCTTCCTGTGCTGACTTGCTGCTGGTACTTGTTTTGCTGTGCTACTACTTCGAAGAAAATGGTGAAGCTAGCGGTGGCCAGCGTTTTATGCCTTGCGGTGCATTTGACCTTTGGGTCAGAGGTGAAGGTTTACCGTGACTGCAGTAAGTCTTGTATCGCTTCGTTTTACCACACATTTCGACTTGTATTTTTAATCCAGGAGTACAAAAAGATGCAGGGAGTGTGGAAGTGCGTCTGGCACTGCCGGGGCTTAGATGAAATGATTGCGTGGCTTGCTTACATAAATTTTTCATAAGCAACCACGAGCAAGTGGCTGGTAAAATATGCCATGAAAATATGGCGATAACTTTTGCTCCTTTTAACGTATTCTGGCGTAGTTTTTTCAGAAGCACATGAGGAGCACCAGGTAGTGAGACATCTTTCATAATGAGCACGATGTAAAGCTAGCGAACCAAATGGTGCAAGAGTCATATGACAATGCAGGTGCTTAAATACGATGAAACCATGGGCTGCTTATCTTGCTTTCCAAACAACTAGCAGTAATGGACGGTTCAATTAATATGCCACAAATTCTCATTCTAGACGAGTTGTATGTCATAGCTAAGAATATGCCTGTATAACGCAGCATTTGTCCATTTTCCTCATTTCCACTCCGTAGTTTGTCATTTGAGAGGCTTATTACAATTAGTACGCAAATAATAAAGGTACGAGAGATTTTCACAGGACAATGGCTAGCACTTAGGCGGTACTGCGGTAAAAAACAAAAAACTCCTGACGACCACCAGCTGCATTTTCGATATGATAAACTTTGGAGGATAATCTGCGTCGAATAAAAATATTGCCAGTTTCACGAACTGTTCGTCGCCCCGGATATCCTTATTTTATTTTGGAGG